GGTACCCTCTTTTTAATACATCCTTATAGCCTTACTTGTTGGCCAATCTTTTAAATCTCTCAGTTTTCCTTTTTTTTAATTTTCTGGAGCCTTGCAAGGAGTTGTAGGGAGGAGAAGCAACTGAGCAATGCGCTCTCCTACTGGGATGGAAACAACCCCACTGGCCACTGATGTCATTATTTTAATTTCTCCTTTGTTATTCTGGTCTATAACCCCAGGGTGTACCTGGATGCCTCAAAGGATAGTACTGGACCATCCCAAGAATAGTCCGACTGTGCCTGGGGGCAATGGCCCATGTACCCCAGTAGGGAGGGCCTGGATCCCCATCTTGGGTGTTAGGACTGCCCGGGTGGAGGGACCAATGTCCAGTCCTGCACTGCCTGAAGTGGCTCTAAGGAGGTCTGAGATATGAAGCGGTTGCTCTGGGGCCCTCTTCCAGTTTTTTTTGATTATTATTAGTAGGAAGGAAATTGCCCCCCAAGTCAGTTCTAGAGTAGCAGTCAGTGGCCCAATGATATCCCCTTTGGCAGCGGGGGCATAAACCAGGTCTCTTGAGACTAGTAGTACTATTTTGAGGGCACTCTCTATGGAAGTGTCCCTCCCTACCACAGCTGAAACATGTTTTTCTCCCTCCCTGATTAGATCTTTTTTTCCCCTTGGGGTTGAATAGTAGCAGCTAACACTTGGTCCTGGATGAAATTACCATCAATATCTCTACAGATCCGGATGTAGTCATTTAGACTTTTGTTGCAGTGGGGGCGAAGAGCCTCCTTACAGTACTTATTTGCATTTTCAAAAGCCATCTGTTTGATAACTGGCATTACAGGCCCAATGTCCCCAAATATTCTCTCTGCTACCTGACTGAGGCGGTCTACAAAGTCTTGGAAAGGTTCGGAGGGTCCTTGAAGGACTGTGGACAGGTGATCCCCTCCTTCCTTTGAAGGCAATGCTTTCCAAGCACCTTGGGCTGCTGCCGCTACTTGGGCATAGACAGCGATGTCATATTGCATTTGTTGTTGAGCGGTGGCATACTGACCACTCCCAGTAAGCATCTCCACATTTCTCTGGGGCTGTCCGGTCTGTGCATTCCTTTGGGCTGTCTGGCTGCATCTTTCTTGAAACTCACCTCTCCAAACCAAATAATCTCCCCCAGATAGAGTCACTCTGCAAAGCTGCTGCCAATCGCCAGGTGTCAAATTAAGAGGCACAAAAGATTCCATTAAGGAAAGTGTAAAGGGAGCCTGTGCTCCATAATTTAGAGTTGCCTCTTTCAGTTGTATCATATCTTTGAAACTTAAAGGGTCATGGCACCTAATGACCTGCTCAGGGTTGTTTGGGTCTGAAACTTCCATTACTGGGGCCACCACCGGACAGCATTGGACCCCTCCTCTGGCTCTTCCCTCCAGGTCCGAGAAGGAGGAGTCCCTCATTTTAGAGTATGGAGGAGGGTTTCTCTCCCTGTCCTGTCTTTTTTTAATTCGAGTCCTTTTTAGTGCCTTTTTAAGGGCCACAACCTCAGCAAGTAACCGTTCCTTCTCAGACTCTGACGAGTCAGAGTCTGGGTCTGAGCTATTTTCATTTTCTAGGTCTGACAGAGTACGATATACCCGATTCTGACTGGAGTCCCTCTTTTTGGGTCGCGTCCCGAGATTTCTATTCACTCTTTTGTTGTTGCTAAGAGATTCTGCCTCATCATCACTAACAATGGAGCCCCTAGTTTCAGGCAGAGTTTCTCCAGATGATTCATTGTCACTCTCTGCCTCAAAACTCAGGGAGGCTTGAGTCTCAGTCTCTTGTAACTCTGAAAAAGCCTCTTTTGTGGCCTGGACTACCTGGCGGTGGCTAGCCTTATCTGTCAAAAGTGCGCCCTTCACTAATCTCCATAAGGAGAATGTGGATGGGGGCAGGGCCTCAGGTCCCTCTTTTCGTAAAAGTTGATGAAGATCATGGCAAACCTCCTCCCAATCTGGGATATTTAAGCTCCCCCCAGTAATGAACGATGGACTGGCTCGTTCGATGGATTTTAGAAAGCCTTCTAAGGTTTTAGTCTTTACTGTAGTCCCATGTCCTTCAAGTAACTTTTTAACTTGATACTGTAATTCAAGCTTCCCAGAACTATTCCCCATGGTTTCTTTTCTTTTTTCCCCAATCTGTCCCTGGCCAGAAAAAGAGATGAATCCACTCACTTACCTTGCTTTCATGATCTCAGTGGGAACCTCCAATTTTCGCACCTGCTGAGCAGCCTGCATCCGAGAATGTAGCGAGGTGGTTGGGATAGATGACACAGAGACCGGTCCGTTGTGTAAAAAAGCTTTATGCTCCCCAAGTCGGCTTAGGAGAACTCCCCAAGACAAAATGCTTCCCTTTTTAAAGACTTCTGTCATCCATACACATACAATTCTCCAACCGAGCTCTCACACACCTCTCACAGCTCTCACAGACTTCTCATCCTCCTGGCTGGTAGTTAAATCTCCGGCACCAGAATCCGGCAGAAACAGCAGGGAACAGGAAGAAGCATCTAGCAGTAGGGGGGATCAAAGTCATGGTGTTTCAGTGAGTGAGCCTTATCGGAGCCCTATCAAGAGCGTTATGGCACTGAATTGTTTTCAGTAAACATTATCTTGCAGCTGCCTGCTCCTAGGCTGATGGAGGGGTGGGTTTCCGGCCAGGGTCTGTGATCCCCACAACTTCACTTTCATCTGTACATACACATGTTTCAATTGTTAGCAGAGCCTCTTAAAAGAACCTTGCTGGTTTTTTTGTTTTTGTTTTTTAGGCTGAGTCAGGAAGACTCCCTTAAGTGAGCCAAGTGAGACTCTGCTTGTTACTAGCAAAACAGAACCCACCTGAGAAAATGCTGCTTCCAAAAACCCATGCTTTCCTCCGTTTTTTTTTTTGTTTCTAAAATTCCTTTAAAGCTTTTGTCATTCTGCGTGGAAATTCATGATCCCACTTCTGATCACCATCATGTAAAGGGAAACCTTCCCGCCAGCCTGGTTCCAGAGCCGCATCAGTCCCAAATAAACACATAGGAGGCTATATTAATTATGAAGCTGTTGGCCTTGTTTGTTTCTTACTGGCTAGCTCTGACTTAAGTAATTACCCCATAATTGTTAATCTAGGTATTTCTCTTACCGGAGAAATTTCCGGGCTTCCTACCCCATGGCGTTACATCTGGACTTCCTGTGTTTCTCCTTCCCAGAGTCCTCCTGGACTCCTAGTCCCACCTATCTTGGTTCCCTATTGGCCAGCAGTGCTTTATTGACATATACACAGGACTTCCTTCATCAATGGAGTTTTTATATAGGGCATTTTTACTAAGTAGAGAAAGGGATAAAAATTCAATACCTTAAATAATGTTTGCAAATGTACTTTCTATCATAAATAGTAACCATTTAGAAACTATAATGAATCTATACTATTACATAAAAATTTATACTTTTAGGATCTATAACCATGAATTGATGTAACAGTTTAGAAAACAACCTCTTTGTTACTACCAAATAGAAAAAAACTCTCTGGAAAAACTTCATGATATCAGTAATTCCTATAAAATGATCAGTTATTACTAACTCTTTTAAAAAGAATAACGTTTCCCAAACTAGGTGTTGTGGCTCATGCCTGTAATTCTAGCACCCAGGGAGCTGACACAGGAGATCTACAGTTTTAGACTAGACTGGGCTTCATGTCAAGTTCCAGATGAGCTCAAACTACATAGTAAGATCCTGTCTTAAAAACAAGCAAGCAATACACAAAATTAACAATGAAATCAACAGAACGTTATATAAAAAAGAGTCAATACAACTGATAAATACCGTATTTAAACTTCAATCATTCCCTTTCACAACTTTTATTTTCACTTTTTTTCATTTTATGTGTCTGAATGTTTTACATGCATGTATGCATATATAACTTGTATATGCCCACAGAGACCAGAAGAGGGAGCCATATCCTCCAGAACTAGAGTTATAAATGGTTATGAGCCATCATGTGGATGCTGGGAACTGAACTCAGGTTATCTACAAGGTAAGCTATCATTCTTAACTGCTAATCCATTTCTCCAGTACCCTCACAATTTTTTAACATAAAAATAGATATAAAGGGGTTGGAAAAATGGCTCAGTGGTTACGAGTACCTGCTGGTCTTCTAGAGGACTTCAGTCCACTTCACAGTACCCATGTTTATACAGTTCACAACTGCCTGTAATTCCAGCTCCTGGATATCTTACCCCATCTTCTGAACTCTGCAGGCACTTACATATGTATATACACCACAATCCACATCCACACAGAGACACATAATGAAAAAGAAAATAAATCTTAACAAACAATAATGAAGAATTGTATTAGAGTTTTCAGCTTTATGCTCTCCTTCCCAGGAAGGGGAATTCAGAAAAAGTCTAAATTTTTTTTTGCCTTTCAATACAGGGTTTCTCAGTATAGATTTGGAGCATGTCCTGGAACTCACTCTGTAGACCAGGCTGACCTCGAACTCACAGAGATCTGTGAAAAGCTGATACACAGAAACACTTGCATGCACTATCACTCAGTCTGTGAATAGGAAGAATTGCAAAACTTTTCCCATCTGTTTTTTTTTTCTAAAATTCTATTTGAGCCAGGCGTTGGTGGCCCATGCCTTTAATCCTAGCACTCGGGAGGCAGAGGCAGGCAGATCTCTGTGATTTAGAGACCACTTTGGTCTACAGAGTGAGTTCCAGGACAGGCTCCAAAGCAATACAGAGAAACCCTGTCTCAAAAAAACAAAAAAAATCTATTTGAGTTTCACAGGTCTAAAAGCATAATTTTTATTTTTTTTAATCATGGAAAACTTTAAGTGGAAAATTTTATGTTTTTAAATCGCAAAATTCATGTGAAACCCTGTACTAAGAAGGCATTAAATGCCAGTTAATAGAACACTGATTAACATTTCCTTTTATATATAAATTAATATATATAGGGTTAAACATTTTTCTGTTAACATACTTATGTCTAAAAACATACCTCCAAATTTATCCAACATAGTGTGTATTTCATCTCTGTGAAGAAATTAGAATAAAAATTAAAGCTGGAAATATATAGTTCAGTGGTAGAGCATTGGCCCAGCACACACAAAACTTCACATAAAAAGTCCTTTAATTATTTATAACATATGTATGGTTTAGAACATATGTCCTATGCAACATATCAAAATATTTTTAGACAATTAAACTTCTATTATTATCTTATTGCTGAAAATTCATACATGTAAATCCCCATTACTTCATTTTATCCATTTCCCATTCCTGAGGAACTCTTCTCCAAATAGATAGTCTCCTTTCTATTTTCGTGTGTGTGTGTGTGTGTGTGTGTGTGTGTGTGTGTGTGTGTGTGTGTGTGTGTGTGAGCGAGAGAAGGTCTTAAGCAGGTGGTCGTGGTTGCTATGTGTTTGTGATTACAAGGTTTCCAGGAGCCCAGGCTAGGCTTGAACTAGCTATACAGCTGAAAATTAACTTAAATCTACCTCTCCTAGAGTAGGAATTACAGGTACTACTTTTGAAGTAGTCTATTGAACTGGCAAAAAAAATATTTGAAAATATTACCCCATATCTTCATCTGCTTCTGCAGGAGGCCATTTCCTCTTATCTTTCTTAAATACTGGGTTCTTTTCTGTTAACACTAAAAAGAAAAACATATTTGAAATTAATTATGTTATATTAGCAATAGTTAACAAAGTGCTATCTTGATTTGCCCTTCTCTGGAAGTTTTGCCAAAATTTCTGAAGCAGCTATAGAAATTAAATAATTTCTTTGCAGGCTTCATGAAATCAATTCACAATTTGCCAGCATTTTATAAGAACAAGTATTCCTGGGGTAACAGCATTTTAAATTATTATTTCTCAATATACTGGAACTACAGAGCCAGAAATTATACAGATGAAATTAGAAATGAAATATCAGAAAATCTGGGATTATGTAAAAAGCACATGAACTACAGGACACAGTCAATGTCCAACATCGGATATGCTGTACCTTCAGGCAGAGCCTTCTCAGAAACACTTGGATCATCTTCTTCGTCATCAAAGTCAAAAAGCACTAAGTACTCGTCCTTTGGTACCGCCATTAATCTCCCAAAACTCCTTCTTCTACTGGCAGTCAGATGTTTTCTTAGTTACAACAAGAAGGAAAAGAATCTAAAAAACTCATCTGAATCCAAAGGTGTCACTTAAATAAATGCCTAATTTAAAAATGTCAAAAAAAATTAAGTAAGAATTACCTTAGTTCAAGGAAAGATTAAGTTTTTCTCTTTTTTACATTTTAATAATTTTCCTTATCATTGAGAATTTCATATGCATATACAATAAATTGTGACATATATATACACACACACACATATATATATATATATATACCTATTTTCCCCCCTCCATCTTCTCCATGTATTCCACTTAACATGTCTGTCTCCCAAATTTGTTTTCTTAAAAACATAACAAAACAAAACACAACAGGATATATTTTTGAACCAAAGTTAACAATTTGTCAGTTTTCAGTTTAAAAAATGCAAAATTGGCTACTATATGAGTCCTCCCAACCCCCCCAAATGAGCAAAATGTGTTTGCACTTAACCTCTGAGACATCCGAATTCTGGTCCTAGCTATTACAGATTCTTTTTAAAAAATCGAGCAAGTCTGTATCTCAGTTTTAAAGTAAACTCATGGCGCTATCCAGAAAGATAGGCAAATGCCTATTCCTGGCAAAAAGACCCTATGCTCCATTAACAACACACACCCACCACCACTCACACAGAAAGGTCTGATATTTGAGACGCTGGGGATTCGGGAGAGCTGAGGATTTCAAACATCAGAAGATTACAAGTTCAATGCCAGCCCCGGCTAGCTGTGGTCTGAAATACAAAGGGAGATCCCAGGCTACATAAACAAACTGGCAGAAAAAGCAGACGGCGGTGGTACAGGGCTATAAGCCCAGTCTGTGTGCACCTGAGCCTGGAGGATCAGTGGTTAGAACCCATCCCGGTTACTTCAATCCTTCCTCTTTCTCTCTCTCTCTCTCTCTCTCTCTCCCTCTCTCTCTCTCTCTCTCTCCCTCTCTCTCTCTCTCTCTCTCTCTCTCTCTCTCTCTCTCTCTCTCTCTCTCTCTCTCTCTCTCTCTCTCTCTCTCTCTCTCTCTCTCTCTCTCTCTCCCTCCCTCTCTCTCTGACTCTCTCTCTCTCTGACATGCTTGTGAGTGTTTTTCCTCAATATATCTCTATGTACCACATGCACGCCTTATGCTCACAGAGAACAGAGCACCGATCCTCGGAAACTGGAGGTATGCATAATTGGGAGCCATCATATGGGAGCTTCACACCCAGGTTTGCTGAAAGAGCAGTAAGTGCTCTTAATAGCTGAGCCATTTTTCCAGACTAGTCTATGTGTGCTACAGAATTTCTCCCCAAAACTGTTTGCTTTCAGTGTTTTCCAACTTACACATTGTTTCTTTAAAGGCTATAACTTTAAAAAGGAGCTAAGACAGATCCATGGGATGATTCAGTGGGAAGAAAAGGAAAAGGGAAATTATGTAATTACAGTATAATCTCAAAAAGCAAAGGAAATCATTTTAATGACCCTTTTGTAACTTTACCCGCGTTCAGAAAAAGTAACTGACATGATTTTTATGGGGACTGCTTTCATGTTATGCATTGATTAAGAAAAAATGACATCCTGATGATTTTGAAAAATCCTAATGAGAAAAAGTGATTTTTCTCACTAAGTAGAAAACAATTTTGAGTTATGAGTATGTGTGCCCACATATTCCTATGTATACATGAGAACACATATGTGCATCTCTGCCTTTCTGTGTTTGTGTAGCTGCATGACATGCATATCCTCATTATTCTCTAACTTAAGTCTTGAGACAGAATCCCCCTTGAACCTGCCCCCCACCAATTCAATTAGCCTGCCTAGCCAGCAAGCTCCAGCCTTCCCCCACCCCCTCAGCAATGGTCTGAGTATTCACCTCTATGTGTTTTTAAGAAAATTACCATTCCTGTGAATCATGAAATTATTATCCTACACTATAAGGCCTAAAGAGATCTGGTGCCCTCTTCTGGCCTCTTTGGAAGATACTAGGCACATATTTGGTACATACAAATACATTCAGGCAAAACACCCATACACAAAAAATATAATTTAATATTTTTAAACTATAAGAGTTTGCTTTTTATTTTTGTCTTTATTTATCTTGACTTAATTTTTGTTTGTGTTTCGAGACAAAGATTCAATCACTTTTTCCCTTCATATAGAAACCTATGTCACATCATCCTCTACTGTATTTTCTCCTTTTGACAGCTGTGACACACGCAAATGTTCCATATGTTCATTTTACGTTAAGGCACATTTGGTATACAATACTTGTATATGTTTATTATATGTAAGATGATAATTAGACACAGGTGTACAGTATGTAGTCGTCAAATCAAGATTATTTTTCTGATGTTTTTCAGTTTATGTCACATCCTTGTCCCAGTGACCAATTTCCCTGGGAGAACTGACCCCAGCACTTAAGAGAGATGACCGCACCTCTCTTCAGAGGTGTAGGACAGCTAGCCACAATGCTACAGGCCAAGGAGAGCTGGTTATGCCTCTCTCCTTAAGGGCTGGTCCCAGTGGCCAGACCAATAGGCTCAGCTGCCGCCAGACCCACATCCTGGCCTTGTACTGGCCCAACCTAGCTAGCAACTGCCACATCCATGGCCTGCCTGAATGTGTAAAGGGACTGGTACTGTGGAATGATAACCTCAGATTTTCCGTGATTTGGGGCATCAACAGGGTATCAGGAGTTTCACTGAGAGCCCAGTGATGATGGTTTTCCAGAAACCAGAGGCCTTCAACCAGACCAATTACTCATTGTAATGAGCCACTTTTGGATAGGAATGATTGGACAACCTCTCTACAGCAACCTCAACAAGCCCGAAACTCAACAGGTGCTTGATCTCCAAACACAATTGGATGTTTTGGTTTTTTTTTAAAGCCTGATATCTGACTCCTGATTTTTTTATTGATAAGATTAATTAGCTCAATGCTTCATCTGGTGTTCAACATTTGAGACACAAATTCACAAAACAGCTACTTGGTGACTTTGCAACCACCAACACAAAACAGAGCTGTACATGGAAACTGCACTCACGAGATGGGTGGAATGTATAGGGTCAGAAGAACAGAGAAGAAAATTAAAGCCATATGTGGATAATTTAGCAATGAATTTATGGGGTTCTGATTTGTTACAGCAATGGAATACTCAGATTAGCACACCTCCAATCTCTGAAACAAACCATAAACTAACATATGTTTCTGGGAAACTCATTAAAAGGTACTATAGAGAACAGTCACCGACCATTCAAATTGGACAGTAACAGGGCACAACATCTGTTGGCCTTTCAACAACTAAGGATGATAGTCAATGCAATAGGGATTGAAGGAGTGAGCCCCACAAAGCAATCAGCCCATGAGGGCGGGGATAAGGAAATTAGCACAGATAGAGATAAAAGGAAGCGAACGGAAAAAGGACCTCCTCTTTTGGAATGCAGCCACACTTCTGACTCCCAGCTTGTGTGATTCTCACTCTGGTAAATAAATATATTGTATTCCCTAATGCATTAACTATCATCCTTATATGGTGATCAGGAGTGGGATCATGAATTTCCACATAAAATGACAAAAGTGTAAAAGGGATTTTAGAAACAAAAGAACAGAGAGAAGCATGACTTTTTGGTAGCAGCTTTTTCTCAGGTGGGCTCTGTTTTGCTAGTCACAAGCAGAGACTCACACAGCTGTCTTAAGGGAATCTTCCTGACTCAGCATAAGCAAAAAAAACAAAAACAAAAAACACCAAGGTTCTTTTCAGAGGCTCTGCTAACAATTGAAAGGTGTGTACGTACAGCTGGAAGTGGCAGTGACCACATCTCTGAGCCTGCAGCTTTTCCTGGATGTCAGCATAGACTGAGACTGTGAGCTGGAGTCACGCTTATGCCCGCCATCTTGAAAAAACTGCAGTTTAAACAGCTGCGGTTTTAACAGATAAGACACGTGGCCAGAAAAACATAAAGATTTACAGTAAAGTCAAACTTGGATTAAGAAAAACCTCTAAAGGTTTACAGTGTGTTTAAAAATATTCGTAGGATTAAGAGAGGAAAAGAAACTGGTAAATAAATAGAGAAGCCAGCTGTGGTGGCACAAGCCGGCAAGATTTGCTGCAGAGGCAGAGGCAGGCAGATTTCCAGAGAAACCTGTCTCAGAGAAATAAATAATAGTAAAAGAAATAGAGTAATAATAGATAAATAAATAAGCCACGTAATGATGGAAAAAATACACAGAGAGACTGGATACTGTATGCCATTGTGTTTTTCAGTTTTTTGAATGCTAAGGAACAACTGCTAAAGTACACTTGATTATAAATACTACTAAATTAATTCAACTTATATCTTTTATAAATGCCGCTAAATTAATTCAACTTATATCTTTTAAAAATGCCTTGACTTCAGAATTTAAGTATAAGGGTATGTTACTTTGGAAAAGATATTACTGTTTCCAGTGGAAAGCTGTGGATTCCTTCCAGGCTTCTGTGGTTTGATGAACCAAGACCCCCAGAAGCAGTGGGCCAGATGTTCCAACAATTAAGACAGCTAAGATGATGCAGCCTTACAGACCACGAAAATAAGGACTTATACAAGCATCTGAGTTTTGCCATGATCCGCATGGTATGAACAGCGCCCCCTTCCAGCACGAAGCAGTTTGGAATGAGCGATGTCCAAATTCCCATATTGTTTATAAACATTTGTTTTCATTTGAATGGAGTTGCTTATAATGGGTTAATGATCACAACCAATCTCTTTTTGAAGGTAAAAGGGGGAATTATGGTATGGAAATGAATACTTTGTATTGGCATGGTTTTTCATTTATTGATACAAATTCAAGATCAATTTTGTGATATGTATATTTCTCTTGATTAAGTATTGTGCTTATACTGATTATAGATAGTTACTTAGAAGAGTCAGAACTTATAGTTAGGTTAGTTAGGTTTTCTAGATGTACAGAAATATATTTGATATAGATAGACAGTCTTCAAACCTTTCAATGACCTTCAGAAAATGGCATTTAAAACGGTTTAGGGTTTTTCTTGACAATGAGAAATGTCTGCTCCTGGCACATCAATTACA